GGCTGCTCCCGTGACAAGCAAGATGAATGGGCGGCGATGCTGAGCTGTGGAGCCCCCAGGTCCGAGCTCTTTCTCATTATCCCTCCACTTTTCTATCAAGGTGCTCCCTGGGGCTCGCATTTAAGTCCACAGAACAGGCTGCCCCTCGCCGGCCCGACTGGGATCCAGCCAAGTGTCACAAAACCATGGGACAGTCATACGTATCCCCCAGGGAAGTCGGGCACCCGGGGCTGTTTCAAGGTCTGCGGTAGACAAACTTCCCAGAGAAACAAAAACAGACACCACGGAGGCGCTTCGGAGGTCTTGCTTTTCACTACTTTAGTCTGATTTAAACGTTTCAGGTTGTCTTTGCAAAATCTCAGGTGGAGTTGAAGGAGCAGGTGAGCTGGTGGGTGCTAATGGGAGGGTGACCACTTTGTCCCCGGGTGCCCGGGACTCAGCACCGACGTCCTGTGGCCTGGGCAGCCGCGGGGCACCCTGCTGGGAGCACTTCATTATTTTGGGTGAGCTTTCCACCTGCCTTCTCACTGGGGGTAGGCTTTATTTCACGTCACATCAGCATTTTGAGAGAGAAAGACGAACCTCGTGAACTGGGTTCTTCCGGTAAGTTTTCGTCTGTCCACGTGACTGGAGCCCCCCAACAGCTCTAACTTTGAAACAGGCTTTTCCTTAGAAGTCCAACTGACTCCTTTAGCCTCGTTGCTAAGAGTTTTGGGTAAAAATTTCAGACTCGCCCACTCTTTAGGACTACGAAGCAACCTTTTATAAGACAGCACCGTCCAACTTCCCACCCAGGAAAGGATCCTTGCCCAGATCTCCAGACACTATGCAGCCAGTTCTCAATGTCCCTGACAGGCACCACCTCCAAGGAGGGGCCTCGTCGTGTGCAGAGGGATGGACATGTGACCTGAACTTCCTGGGCTCCAGCTTCCTACAAGGGGGCAGCCCAGGTGCACCCCAGACATTCGGCGAGAGACACAACGCTGCGGACGTGTAGGCTCTCTGAGGGCATCCCCCACTCAGCACCGCTGAAATGCTCAGCGACCCTGCCCCACCGCGCCCTGTGGCTACGTGGGCACCCACTGTGGAACCACTGATCTTTAAGACAGTCGGGGTTAAAAGCCACCGGCACAGCTGCCTCCTGTGCCGGGTCTCCTCCTCTCTGCCCACAATGCAGGAGGTGAAAGCAGAATCGACGAAGGCTGACAATAAAGGTTACACCACCTCCCCACCTCCCCACCTCCCCACCTCCGAGTGATTCCGATCATTCGTGGATTCAGCCGCTCCCTTAGGCAGCTCTGAACCTGCGTCCGTAACTTCAGCCCCAGGACCCTGGCGTTGACTGGATTGCACTTTGCAATGACGTGGGCTCCTGCTCGCCATGTGATTATGTAACGAAGCCCCATGGTGCTCCTTTTCCACATTCCAATAATATCCGTGCGCACGTACAGAAAGGACGGGCCTGGCCAACGCCGGGGCATCTAAGACAAAGCCTGTGCGGAGGGCTTCTAAGGGACTGATGGTGATTACATAAGCCAGAGGCTGGACTGAAAAGTAAGGAGGCGCTAGCCCTCCCACGGGCATGTTCTGTACACACAGCTGTTGCCACTTTTGTCCTTGGCAGGAAGCGGCCAAGGTCCCTGTGGCCAGGCCTGGGCTTAGCGGGTGACACTGAGGGGCCTTGAAATGCATCATCACGCAGATCTCATCTTTTTTACTGCCCAGTGAGTCCAGCAAGAAGAATGTTTTGCTTGCACTTCTCTCTCTAAATGGCACAGAGCAACCTGGTCAACAATTAGACCTTTGCTCTCTCACGGGGTCTTGGGAAGAACTCAGCCAGGAGAGGGCAGCACCCCCCCCCGCCCCGCCCCCGCCGGTGCAGCAGCACTGGGGAGAGAACCCCGAGAAGACCTGTGCTGCTGTGGGGTTCTGATGGGCAGGGGCTGGAGACCTGGACGGGCAGCACCACCTGGAGAAGCAACCTGACTCTCGTCCCCAGATAAACCAAGCACCAAGGAATTTCCTCAGTCCCCTCAAGAACGTGTACCTGGGAGGTTCCCACCACCATCAGAAACATGTCGGGGATGCTGACAGAACTCCTGGTTTCCAGCGCGGCTCCGAAAGGCGAAGCCACTGCTGCAAGACAAGGGGGCAGTGCACCCAGCAAGGACGCCACTTGCTACCTGTCACGTTGGGAAATATGTAATTTATTTTTAAGGTAAATGTTCACGAGGGTGCGGTGGGAAAGTCCCCTCTGACATTTCGCCAGAGGAGATAAAACCAACATTCTTCCCGGGAGTTCGGCAACATACACCCAAAGCACAAGACGCAATTCAGGAGGCCAGCTGCTAGGGACGTGTCAGAGGGAAATGGACACGGGCCCCGAGGTGGACAGAAGATGCTGATTAGCTACTTGGTAAAGATAACTCAAAGTGCATTTATTTGCCAAATGTCCCTTTTGGAGATAGTGTTAAACCAACCAGGATGTACCTGCACGACGGACATTCTATAACCACTAAGAATCGGGGCACACAGCCCACTTCCTTGCCGACATGCGAAGGCACGTATGATTCATCATTGCCTAGGAGTGGGGGCTAGTCAGCTTACACAGGTGCCCGCATGCTCGTGGAGGGAGAAGCACGTCCCCAAAATGCTAGTGGTCATGTTCTCCAGGTGGTATTTTGGGGTGATTTTCATTTACTTCAATTTGTTTATTTCCAACTTCTTATCAATAACTGTGCAATTTTGAAAGTATTTACCTTTTTAAATGAAAAGCTTAACACAGTGATGCAATCAATTAACCAGCTAACACTATATATTAGAATCTATACATTTATCTGAATCAAGACAGATGCACATGCAAGGTTCATGGAATGTGCTGCTATGGGACTAACACCCCCTCTTCTGCCTTTATCGGGGTCCCCAAAGAAACTCACTGTGGGTAGAATGTCTGCATTTCCCCCCAATAATAAGATTACTTCTGTTTTTCATCTCATATAAATCACCAATATAACAGATTTTATTAACACAGACAGAAAAGCTTCTCTTGCCTTAGGAACTAGTATGTGTTCTTATTTTTTTATATTTTGGTTGATCCTTACCCGAGGATATTTTCCCATTGATTTTTTAGAGAGAGTAGAAGGGAGGGGGAGAGAGAGAAACATGGACATGAGAGAGAAACATGGATTGGTTGCCTCCTGCATGCGCCCCAAGGGTGTGCGGATCAATCCTGCAACCGAGGTACATACCCTTGACCGGAATTGAACCCGGGACCCTTCGGTCCACAGGGTGATGCTCCAACCACTGAGCCAAACTGGCTAGGGCATGTATTCTTATCTGACAATAAAAACCGAGTCACAGATTGCGTTTAACTTATTTTGACCTCAGCTGCTCAGAGCGAACCCTAGGCTCCCATGCACGTATGCCCCTTATTCTCGGTTCTCAGAGAGACAGTCTCTTCCCCCTTCCTCTCTGACTACTTGCGCCTGTCTTTGTACTCTCACCTGTGCCTTCTACTGAAATTCTCCGTAGAATTAGAGAGCCACAGGTGGACCGTTTGGGAGAGGAAGAGAGAGATGCATGATCGGACATCATGAGGGACATTATTCATCTTATAGTGGAGCAGGACCAGAGCTGACTTCAATTCAGAGACGGGGGCTTGGCTGCTGTGAGCACCCCCACCCCCACGCACAGTGTCCACGCTGAGGTGGCGCCTGCCAGCGCTCTGAGGGACGATACTCACGTGCAGACTGGGGTGATAGGTGAGCACGCCGTTGTCGCACAGGGTGACGTACTTCTTCTTCCACTCTTTATTCAACGATTTGCCGCTTCGCTTCAGCAACATGCCCTGGGAGGAATAGGGAGCCAAGGATAAATTAATAAGGTCATGTGTGGACTCTAAGAAATTTTACACTTTTATTTTAACTGCCATCTTAAAAGGAAAGTACACTTATTTTTAGCTCAGTGATTTGGTTTTCTCTTTTATATACAACGTATATATTCGGCCAGATTCCTTTGGTGTGGATGTGCCTGTCGAACTTGAGATGGTGATACTGATGCTAACAGACGTAACACAAACCGCCGTGGTGCGGGACAGTGTACCTTTCTTATTCTAAGCCCACAGGAACACCTACAGGAATGTCTTACAAAAGGACACCTAAACTCCCCTTTCGACAATTACACATTAACTGTATTCTTACCTTACGATCTTGGCAAATGAGAACATTTTATTTTGAATTTATTAAAAATGAAATTCCATTTGCAAACACAGCGACAGCATTTAACAGATGAATCGTGTGTAATTTACTTGAACCCATTTCTAATGAAATCATATTAGGGGCCCATGAAAAGCATTCAAACTTGGACACTCTCACACTGAAGCTCCAATTTTCCTTCGATGGCAATGAGAATGGATTCTTGTTTTAACTGCCAATTCCCAGCAAAGCTGTGCCCTTCCCTGGGTCAGGAAGCCCAATTGCCAGCACCGACCTCTGCCGGGCCCACGACCTTGACTTCCCACGTTCCTTCCCTTTGGGGCTTCACGCCTGCCTCGCTCAGGCAATGTCAGCTTCAGCTCTCATCTCTGGTCTTCTGCCTCCTGCCCACTTACAGCAAGGAGAACGGAAGGCCCCCCCCGTCCTCGCTCTTCCTCTCGCTGCCCAGGTATGAACTCACAGGATCGTAATTCTGACTGAGAAAGCACTGATGCTCGTTAACTCACCGGACGGAGGCTGAAGGGACGCTGTGGGTTAAGAAACAGGGTTCGACACCCTGAAGAAGCAGAGGTGCCCTTGAGTGCCCTTGGGAGCTGTACTGCCTCTTAATCCTGCTACTCCCCCAGGAACCACAACACGGGGGGAAAAATCAAGCAAGCATCTTTATGTGATAATTAAGTTCAAGGTCCAATTAGTTACCAGCACTGTGACAATACTTTTTTTTTATGCCAAATGTCACAAATAGAATGGATTGTGAGCTGGTTTGGGACTCTGACCACCATTTAAATATTGTTTCTGGGGGGAAATATCAAAAAGTTGGAAGCAACTAACAGTGAACCTTTGGTTCTTCACTTTTTTGCAAGCTCTTATTTTTAAAAAACAAACATGTGGCAAAACATGGCATCCCTTGATTTCTATAATCTAAACGACACGTGGCCGCGAGACCAACGAGCAGACAGGCCCCAGGAAGCGCGGCTGCAAACCAAGGGGTGCAACTGCACTGCGTGAACCAGGAAGAGCCCCTGGGACGGGCAGTCACACCAGGGACGTGGTAATAAACATGCAGTCGCTCCAAATCATTACTCTGCCCTCCCAGGGGGACCGTACAATCTCTAAACTCAGCATCGCGAAGCCTGCCCCAGTTCTGCCGCGGGGTCCATCCTTCCCAGCCTGCAGAGCAAATTCCACCACCACCAGGGCCTGGGTCGCTGCAGTGTCACTGGTGGCTGAGAGCTGCTGGGGCTTCAGAAAGCCCTGCTACTCCCACTCCAGGAAACTCAGGCCTCACCCCAGGGCTCCATGTGGAGGCCCGCTGTGGGCGCTGCCCGGAGCCAACCCCACACCCACAGGCCGTCTCTCCCCAGTGAGGGCTAGAAGGACATACTGCTTGAGAGATAAAGAGAACATTCCAGCGGGGAGATGATGTGAGCAGGTGACGTCAGAGGGGAACTAAAGCAGGCTGCCTTGTTGTGGTGTCAGGAAAGCATAATCTCTTGGTGAAAGACAGTCCAAATCTTGACAATCTTAATTCTATGGTTCCCGGTGGAGGGTCACCTCGATTACGTGTACTATTCAAACACTGGGAAAGTCAGCGGGGCCCGAAGGACAGTCTGGCACCCAGGAGCCGCATTTCCGCTCTCCACCCTCGGCCAAGCCGGTTTATACCCAACCTCTTCCCTGAACCCCCAAAAGACTGTAGAAACTGAGCATCTGCTGCCCTGTCCCCAACATCACAGCTGCTCTGAGCCCAGGTGCCAGCTGCCCACTGGGCCAGATCAGAGGCACGCTTCCTTGGATGCCTGAACGCTAACACTGCTGACGTATTTCTACACACGTCACGTTCATCCCTCACTTGCTCCCCATACGCAGCAGGTCAGGGTAGCAGAGTTACTGCGGTTCCTCAGTGCAGACAAGACTGAGCCACACAGGTAAAGTCACCGTTAGCTGACGGGCAGCGCCAGGCCCAGCCATCCTGCCCTCTCCATCCACTGCACTGTGCTCCTCTCCTCAGAACACAGCATCCCCCAAGGTGCCCAGGGAAGAGAGTGAACCATGGCCTGCCCTGGGACAAACATTTACCGATGCGACCAGGACAGGGCCTCGCTGCGCAGACTGAGGCCCCATGCTTCTGTCCTCTTGGACTTACACAGTTTCTCTAAGGACCAAGACAATGGAAAACCCTAAAACAGCTCATGTTACACTCTGAAAGGCTACGAAGCTGCCATCCCACCAGCCAGAAGATGACAGAGGCCAGGAGGCTCTTAGCCGCAGACACTGCGGGCAGTTCCCTTCGGCCTGTGGAAATGGCCCTTATGATTCTAAGTCTCTTTGATCTCGGGTGACCCAGGGCAAAACTGCACGGCAGAATGTCACAACGCATCCATAGTCTATCCCTCAGATGCCACTTCAGAACATGTAAAACCGACCTCCTGCTTAAGACTGTCCCTGACCAGCCGTCACAGTGCAGACATTAATTATAGTTAATGCTTTATTTGACTCTCATGTGACTTACACATCTGTTTGTAAACTTCTAAAATTTCAAAACAATATTGGGTTCATTGCGAGCCAGGGGATGCTCTAAGAGCCTTAAAGTATGAACCTGCTGCAAGCTTATAGCGGACCTGATGGTCATGGCTAGGATTACCCCCATTTTACGGATGAGGCCACCGAGGCACAGAGAGCTTATGTAACTACCCCCAGCATGCACAGCCAGCCCGGTAGCTGGTCTCAAGATGGCTCCCAATGCACCATGAGTTGTGGTATTCGTGGCCCTGTGCAAATCATCCCACCCTGACTTGGAAATGCCCAGACTCACATTAACCAACAGAACCAGAGGGAGTGATGCTACCTACACTGGGCTGGACCCACAGAAACCCTGGCAGCTCCCCTCTGGGGAGCTCTGTTGGATAAGCCTTGCTGTGCTCTGTCCATAGTCCTGAACCACCAAATTAAGAGAAATAATAAAATAAGTTTTCTCAAATCAGTAAGTTTTGGGGGTAGATCCTTAGGCAACAATAGATAAGAAAAACAGAGCTAGCATCCTGTATTGCTGTAATAAAAATAAAAACCACAGGCCTGGCACCAGCCTGGTTGAGGCTGGTGAGGACGTAGCTGCAGTGGCGGCTCGAGGGGCGTGAGGAAAGTGCTACCCAAGGTTGGAGACGGAGACGGAGCCGAGCTGTGCTCCGGTTAGCAGAACGGTCCCAGGCCTGCTGCCCGCGGGGATGCCCAGCAGCCTGGCTGCTGGCTCCAATAACCCCGGGGAGAGTGTCCAAGCAGGACCAGAAAAGATGTTTCCAATTTAAAAGTCATGCTGGGCTGAACCATGAGAAAAATCATCTCTGGCCCCCAGCCTCCTGCCAGTAGAACTTGCCTGAGGATGAAGATCAAATCCAGGGGGTGTCAGTAGATGGGACCTCAGAATACAGACCCCGCCAAAGGTCTGGCAGCCGGACATGCCGCCCCATGAGAATGCAGCAGGATTGAGGGCAGGAACGCATGGACAGGAACGCATGGACCCTTCCAATAGAGACTTGTATATTAGAGATAAGGAGCTGTGGATGGGCTTGTCTAATGAAATGGACGGTCATTGGATACAAAGGACACCCACAAGATATTTAAAGGAATTATATGCCACATATGACTAAATGGTACAACGTTCAAAATGAATCTTTTCACTTTGGGCGCTTGACCTACATGGAGCAGGAAGCAGGCTGAGAAAGCCACAAAAACGTGACAACAGGCCACACACACCTTATGGAAAAGGAAGGCCGGCCCAGACAGCAGAGCCCAGGGAGAAGGAGGATGCCCCCACCCCCGCCGCGAGCAGAACACACTCCCTGTGACCAGAGCAGGGTAGGGTAGAACATGTGCCCGGTGGGCTCAGAGGTGCTGTGGGCTACAGGTCACCTGTCTGTGTCGGCATTGTGGCACTGTGTGCGCGCGTGCAAGGTAACTCGGCTCTCAAGCTCCCTGGTCTTCATATGAAAGCATCAGAGCTGAGCAGCCTCATCCACACACGCACCTGATGTAGACAGTGACCCTGAGCTTCCAGTCTGAGCCGGATGCTGGGAAGAGACTGTGAATCTGGAGACGGGGGGAGGGTATTCTGCATGTGCGAGGTCAGACGAAAGTAGCCAGTCTCCAAAGATGACCCTCAAAAGCCCAGCTCCTGGGTGTGGTCCTGGGTCCTATGTCCATTTAACCAATGGGATGTGGTGAAATTACGCTGTGACCACTCCGGCCAAGGCCTTCAGAGGCCTGGCCGCTCCTGTTTCCATGCCTTGGGAGCCCAGCAGACTTGTGAGAGATCAGAGGAGGGTTCTGCTGCAGAGACTGGCAAGAGAGAGACCCTGAGGTACACGGAGGGCACTGAGCTCTCATGTCAGGAGCACAGAACTGCCGCTGACCGGCCAACATCAAACATGTGAGCGAGGAAGTGACCCTGGACGCCCTGCCCTGGAAGGCACCTTGGGGAGCAGACATGTGCTAGCTCACACTCCCAGCCCACAGACTCCTAAGAGATAACAAGACGGCGATGGTTGTAAACCACCACGTACGGGCTTATTACCAGCGACAGTAAACATGGCGGCAGGACAGCAGGTGGTTGCACCTCCAGACCAACTTTCAAGGT